GGAATCCGAAGAGAGTGGATGGAAAAGGTGCCAGAAGCTCCGCCTCCGCCGGAGCCACCGCCGTTACCACCACCTCCGGAACCACCACCTGAAACTGTACATCCAGACGATTTGCCTAGAAGCAAAAAGCCGTTGAAACTGAAAGAAAAGGTCCCGCACTTCGGTAGTGTTAGTGAGGTGGATGAACTCTTTGCCTCCGTCCCTGAAAGGGAGCCTGGCGACACTGCTTTGGACTCAGAAGATGAGGAACTCCATCCATGGACTCCATCGCTCAGACAAAAGCTAGAGTTACAGGTAAGTTCCCTGAATCATCAACTGACCCACTTCCCTAAGAACAGGTATTGTGAAATCTGTAGGAGAAGTAAAATGCAGGCCAAAACACACCGAAAGAAGGGTTTAGAAGTTGATCCGGAAGAGATGCCACCTTTGCACTACGGTCATAGGATAAGAGCAGATCACATCATCATTGGCAAAGATTTGTCCAAAGGTTCCGAAGGTGAACAGGCCTGTCTAGTATGTCTTGATGAGTATTCCGGATGTCTACAAGCATTTCCACAAACCAGTAGGACAACAGACGCAAACATCGGAGCTTTGCAAGCGTTCGGTGGGACCAGGGCACATGGGAAAGCACTCTGTATCGCAAAGACAGATGCAGCAGCCGAGCTTATAGATGCTGTAAAGTATTTGGGTTGGTTGCCAAGTCCTAGTGTTCCTAATGATCCCGTTCATAATGCCAAACTCGAGAGAAGCATTCGTTCCATAAAGGAAGGTGCAAGAGCAATTCTTTTGAAATCAGGTTTAGATCATCAGCACTGGCCTAGAGCAGTAGAGTATTTTTGTGTAGCTCATGCAATCACAAACCAAGCCCAGATTCACCCGAATGAGTCTGATGAGAAGAAGATTGAAAAGAGCACTCAGACTTGCTATGAAACTGCCGCAGGTGAAGCATTCACGGGATTGAGACTTCCATTTGGTTGCCTTGTATACTATAAACCTCCAAAGCACCGTGAACTCCCCGCATTCGAGCCTAGGACATATCCAGGTATCTTTGTGGGTTGGAGGATTGATGCAGGGTTTCATCACCGAGATGTCCATTTGGTCCTTGATTACCAGAATCTCATTTCAAAAGCTAAGGGTAGTGGTAGACCCATCCAAATCTACAAGTCTGAGCTTGTTGAACCCACTGAGGGGAATTGGGTTTTTCCATTGTTCGAAGCAAAGATGAACCAGTTGCAATTGTTCAAACCGTCGCTCAAACATCCATCTATAGAACCATTGGAAGCGTTGCCGTTCGAAGGTGACCCTCCTGAGCCCAAAGTGTTCAAAAGACGGACATATGTGACTTTGGAAAGGGCCATTAAGTATGGTATTACCCCAGGCTGTAGAGGTTGTGAGCGAATAGCCGAAGGAGTGCCGCACACTGATGAATGCCACGAGAGGTTCCGAGTGTGTCTGGAGGAGGAGCGACTTGCAGCAAAAGCAAGGGCAAAAAGTATGAGGGTTCCACCAACCCCTCGTACACCTGCGGTTCGTGAATCAGCACCTAGCACTCCCGCGATGCCAGCTTTGGATTCGTCAGAGTTCAAGGGGGGCGGGGATGGGGATTTCTGGGAGTTTGACACGGATAGGAAAGCTTGGAAAAGGGTTCATGTAAGGCCTAGAAAGAAGCTTTTCGCCCCCGTAGGAAGAGATTGCCCATTTGATGTAAGTGATGTCTCTCAAGAACGTCTCACAGAGTGGAAGTGTAGAGGGAAGATCTCTGTCCATAAGGATGATTGGAACAAATGCCCATACCAGAGGATAAGTTCTAAGTCATGGGTAGGATCAACATGGTTCTTTCCTAGAGATCCCTTCATCAACGAATCACAAGCCAAATTGTTTGCAGCAACCGCCAATCTTCTTGAAGGTGAACAAAATGCCAAGCCGGGAAGCTTTGAATGTCTTTGTGCATCCATGTTGGCAGAGTCTCCAGACCCGACAAAACTGGCTGAAGAGATTCTCAAAGCCACAGAAGATGTGCCAGAAGCAAGGACACAAAGAGACGAATGCAAGATTCGAGATAAGTGTAGAACATGTTTCGAGTTTTGTTGTTCCAAGAATTCAAGCCTTGGTGAGGTAAACATGGATCGGGGCATAAACCACTTTAGACTTTCAATAGACCAAACAGACATGTCTAACGATGTCGAGGTGGATTGCTTGATCAACGTGATGCACCAATTCAAGGGGGCAGACTTGTATGGTTCCATACCGTGTGGTCCTTGGTCTAGTTGGCAAAGGTTGAACTGTCAGCAGTATGGTAAAAGATTCCAGCAAAAGCTGAAAAAGGATAGGAAAAAGTCTCTCAAGATTCTTAGGAACTACATCAGGTGCGCAGAAGTCATCATGCAAAATGGTGGCCATTGTGCATTTGAGTGGCCGAAGAGTGCAGAGGGATGGAAAAGTCCTGAGTTACTGCAATTTGTGAAAAGAAACCGCTTGTTCGTGTCAGAACCACAAGGGTGTGCTTTTGGTATGTGTGACAAAAACAATGTTCCGCATCTCAAAACATGGCGAATAGTGACTTCTTGTTGGAAATTGGCCAAAAACCTCGATGCGCACAAATGCAAGCATGAGAAAGGGTTCAAACATGCTCCGATTGAAGGAAGCGCTACGCCCAAAAGTGCATTCTATCCGTTGCCCATGGCACGGTGCATTTCCTATAGTCTATATGAAGCAGACATTCCAGCAATGCCAGTTGAACTTGTAAGTGAACCCGTAGGGCGTGAAGAGTTCTCACCTGATGAAGTTCTTGCCGCAGTGCATTTGCTTTTAAACAGGAATGAATGGCACAAACACCAAGGCTGGGAGGAAGCAATTCAGAAAGAGGCTAGTGGAATCAATGCAAACAACACTTGGTCTTTCGATGAAGTAATCTCAAGAAGTGATCTCATCGCACGTTCAAAGGCAAAGGGCGAAGCGATAAACATTGGTAAATTAATGACAATCTTATCAGTGAAAAACTTCGAAACCCCAGAGCTTAGAAAACTAAAGGCCAGAATAGTGTTTAGAGGGGATGACATTCGCAATGCGGACAACACACTTGCAGTACTGCAAGAAGCAAAGGTCAACCCGACCGGGCTTGCAGGCATCAATTTGAATCTCGTTTATGGGGCATTACACGGTCATAAAACCACGCAAAGTGATGTGACTCGTGCTTACACCCAATCCCTGCTAAAGACTAAGGTACCCACTTGGGTCGAACTGCCAAGAGAGCTCACCCCAAAAGAGTACTCTCACCTGGAGCGACCTTGCGTGCGCCTTGTCAGAGCCTTGTACGGGCATCCAGAAAGTGGATGGCATTGGGATAAGAGGTTTAAGGAAATAACGCACTCCATGAACGGTATTCATCTAGATGACTTCCAAAGCAGTTATTGGTTTCCAAAAGAAAAACTGCTAATGACCTTTTACGTAGACGACATGCTGCTCTCAGGACCCCAAGAAGCACACGAAGGCTTCTGGAAGGAACTGGCCAAGCATCTCGAGTTTGATGAACCAACTCCGGTTGATCGCATACTAGGAAGGAAGCATGAGGTGAACCGAAACAAACAAGGTACAACTATTAGGTGTTCTTTGGCAGACTTTGCTAAGAGTTCTTGTGAAGCGTATGAAGCACTTGCAAAGCAAAAACTCGCAAAAGCCTCAACTCCATATGTACCGGAAGGGTCACTGTTGGACACCGACTGGGAAACCAAAGGAGCTTTAGCCGAAAACGCTTCAAGGATCCTAATGAAGATCTTGTGGATGGCCAGACTTTGTCGACCAGACCTAATGAAGAGCATTGGAGATTTAACTAAACGTTTGACTCAATGGTCGGTCGCGGACGACAAACGTTTGTTCAGACTCATGAACTACGTAAACTCAACCCAAGACTATGTACTTGAGGGGTTTATGAAGGATCCAGTGGACCAGTTGCAAATTAGCCTCTATACGGACAGTGACCATTGTTCAGGAACAGAACATACTAAAAGTACCTCCGGCATTCTCATGGCCATCGAAGGCCCTAGCTCCTTTTACCCCATAAGTTGGGCTAGTCGCCGGCAAACGGCTACGAGCAGATCAACAACGGAGGCTGAAACCATCGCACTCGCGTCAGGTGTTTTCAGCGAAGGACTACCGGCACAAAGTCTTTGTGACACCTTGTTCGGACGGCCGACCATGTTGGCCTGCCATCAAGACAACGCTGCCGTGTTACAGATAATAGAAGCCGGATATAGTCCAAAGTTGCGTCGTGTCTCAAAAACACATCGTCTCGACCTAGGTTCGCTATATGAAGTCTTCGAGTCACCTGATGCCTCAATAGGGTATATCGCAACAGACAAGCAGAGAGCCGATCCATTGACAAAGAATCTGCCTCCTTGTCATTGGAGCCACGCACTTGAATTGTTAGGTATAACTTCTAAGAGCTTTCAACGCCAAGCCGTGTGAGTAGCGACCATGCTCCGCACATCGTAAGCCAGCCATCGTAAGAAGGGGGAGAAGAAGTATATCACCGTTCGGTAACCCTAGAATGCAAGCCTAGTATCACTAATGCAAAGCAGGACTGAAACCCTCAATTGCAGGGGAATCATCCAAGAAACCTTAAGGGTTCGGATCGTCCAGACTTGCAACTCGACGTTTGGCTCAAGCGAGAAAAGGTGCGCCCGGGGCGTTCAATCTCGCGTTTTTGTTGTATTATATATATATATATTTATCGACTCTAGACGAGAAAGAAAGATACAGCGAAAGAGCAAAATAGATTGAGCCGTGTCGATTACCAAGGCACCAACTACATATCCATCCCAGAAGGCTCGGTGCAACTCGCGATACGTCGTGCGCAACAAAAACGGAAACAACAATAAGGCAACATGATAAACAAACACTATTTATTTTTGAATTATTGTTATTATTTCTGTATATATATACACAAATAGATATTTTTTCCAAGATGCTCAGACTTGTTCTTGGACGGAACTTGTTCCAAGATGCACCACCAAGCAAAGAATATCACCCGATCAGTTCATGTCACAGGCACTCGCGGAGGCGGAAGCTATTCACACTTCCTGGTCTACACCAAGTCATCTCTTGCAGAGCAGACTACACCTGCTTTCCTGACCCTTGCAGAGGCGGCACGAAGGGAGTTAGTGGGGCTGTTTGGTAGTTGTTGGCAACTGTCATCAACATTTCAGTTGTTTCTGATTTTGTGTAGATTCTCATACTGTAAGAACTCGTACTCGTAAATACTATGGTGGCATTGTCCGCTGTGTCATGAAACCTGTATTGTCTAGTGGCTTCCAAAGACAAGGTGCCGCCGTTGTTAACGACTGTGGAGTCTTGGACATGTAGCACAATGTGCGGAACTTCGAAAACAATTATATGACTTCTATGGAGTCATTGCGGCTGAGCATCAATCAATGCTAAAGCATTTGAGCAAAAAAACATGAACAATCTTCCTCACGAGAAGAGCAACATGGCGCGACATTATCTTCCCCCCCTCAAAAAAATTGCCCATGCGACGCGAATCATCATCTTCAACATCAAACATCATCAAACCAGATTGCCAACCACAGGGGGGCACCAATGACGCCCATAGCAAAAACAAGCAGCAACACCTGGCAGAAATCTAGCTGTAAAGCCACAACAGCAACAGCAACCAGTGCTAGTACTTCGTCATAATGTGGTCCCACCACAACAACTAAGTACTGCTACTGCTCGAGCTTCTGCTGCCGCTACTGCAGCCGCTAGCGCTACCACTACCGCTGTCACCAAGACGGCGACTACTAAGACTACTACTGCTGCTGCTGCTGCTCCTGCTACTCCTATTGCTACTGGAAAACAACAACAACAACAAGAACAAAAACATTTATCATGATTGCTTTCGTGTCTTGCTAGCTTGCGTGCCTACTGCTCAAATATTGACTTACCTTTTCACTTACTTACTTTTGTGGTGGCCTACTTGCTCGCTTGCTAAGCACTTATTAACTTACGCACTTACTTATTTACTTGCTAACCTATTTATACTAACTTGTACGTATGTACGTACGTGTACGTACGTACTTTTGCTTGCTTGCTTGCCTACTTATCTGTATGCTGCTGCTGCTGCTCCTGCTCCTGCCACTTCTACTCCTACTCCTTCTACTCCTACTCCTACTACTCCTGCTACTCCTGCTACTCGTGCTACTCCTACTCCTACTCCTACTCCTTCTACTCCTACTGCTACTCCTGCTCCTACTCCTACTACTGCTACTACTACTACTGCTACTCTACTCCTACTACTACTACTGCTACTCTACTCCTACTACTACTACTGCTGCTACTACTACTACGACTACCCGTAGTGCTACAGCTAATAAGTGCTACTACTATTGCTGCTGCTGGTGGTGCTCCTACCACACTACCACTAGCACTTCCACTACCACTAATACTACTACTATTGCTACCACCACCACCACCACGACGACGACGACGACTACTACTACTACTACTACCACGACTACTACTACTACTACTACTGCTACTGATACTGATACTGCTACCCCTATACTACTACTACTACTACTACTACTACTGCCGCTACCACTACCACTACCACTACCAATACCACTACCACTACCAAAGCCACTACTACCATTACTACGACGACGACAACAACAGCAACAACTACTACGACGACGACGACGACTACTACTACTATCACTACGACAACCTGGACTACTGCAAATACGTTTACTGCTACTATTGCGCTGCTTGGCTTTGGGGTTTGCCAGGCGAGCCTTCGGTTTGTGGTGCCCAGCCTGAGCTTTATGGACTACGATCTGGATCAGGACGCAGGGTCGTGGCTCTACAGTGTTGTCTCTTGAGTGTTTTGCTACAAGTCCTTTTGTTGGTGATAGGTAGTTGAAGAAGACATACACAATGTGTGATAATTACTCTTCAGAATTTGGATGAACTTTGCCGTGCTTTGACTGACTGGGGCAAATTCAATATTTTTTGATGATTCGGTGATCCACTGTTTGACAGAAGAGGAACAGATTGGGGGGACCCTGGTCTGGACTGCGCCGCCTGTTCTTTGGCTGCATTCATCTGAATCCATTCACACGGATAAGTCGCAAGTCAGCTAGCAAACCTGTTTCTTCAAAACCATATTCCAAAGGCTGACCTCATTTGATTGGAACAGATGGGTTTTATTTCGGCTAACCGGAACATGATCATTGATGGCTTCAGTTGAGGTCATTGGTGACATTATGACGTATGAGTGGCTTGGGCGCACTCAACCACTTTTGAAAAAAACAAATGCACCGTACAGGTGCCAAGATTTGCGGATTTAACTGGTGTCAGGATCTACTTGGGCTTGGTGGATGATCAAAACCGCAGCATAAACCGCAGCTTGCTGGTATCGTTGCCGTATGACCAGCTTGTGTTCGAGGTGATTTGGTTGCAAAAGCTCGGGCACACTGCCGTATCTTTGTAGGTCGCTGTGGCTCTTGATCAAATTAAAGGACTGGATAACCCCACATATGAATCTTTACGAATCTTAAGTTTCTACAACGCGGCCTTGTCAGGAAGTTATATCAGAATTACACAACAGAGGGGTGGGAGAGAGGTGTGGGAGAGTGATGTGCGCGGGGTATGCACGAGGTATTGTGCAGACATGTGTGCGCAGCCACAACTAGCCGAAGCAAAACCCCATCCGACGTAAAACCCTATAGCCAAGCTCTTTTTCATCGCGCAGACGAAATCAGGTCACCTGGGCGTCGTCATGAGTATCACACGCAAAAGACGTCATAACCGTCTGTAAAAGTGAAGACCAAAGATTTTGTTTGTCACTGTCAGCGCATCATTTGTGCCTTGGAATCTATGTCGCAGAGCTTTCCAATTGGGACGATGCCGTGCCTGCATATGATCGAACGATGTTTCCAAGAACCTGCAACAGTCGGTCGATATTTGCATAAAAGCGCAACAGGACTGAACAAATAGAGACACAGCCAACTGCATAGGAAATGGTCCACGTTTCGTTTATGGTCATTTTGACATTGAAAGCGCAGTTTGCGCCTTGGTATCTGCTTCGCAGCGCTTTCCAAATTGGATCGTGTCTGCAAGAAGATACTCCACCTGCACATTGTCGAAGAATGTTGCCAAAACAGCGAAAACAGAACTGAACACACAGATGAGTGGACGTAGACACAGCCAACTGTATAGGAAATGAGCCACGTTTCGTTTATGGTGGTTTTGACATTGAAAGCACACCGAAACTACTTGTTTCATCTGGTAGATCCGGCACACTTTCTGAAAACCTGCACGTCAGATATCATTGGCTGCAAACCCTATGCAGTGAGACTGCGCAGAGAATGAACCCGAACAGCGTGTATAAAATTCACATACAGCGGCCTGGTAGATCCGGCGCACTCTCCACAGCGAAGCTTGAGCGCTCCGGGCGATTCAGTTCTGGTTTGAAACGTGATTCTAAACTGCAAAGCTTCTGAGACACTTCTGAAATCTAGCCATGTCACGCCGACCACGCAACAGCCAGAGCCTCTAACGGAGCATGGAGGTTCACAAAGTGCTGTGCCTGCCACGAAATCTGCGCATGGACGTTCACAAAGTGCTGTGCCTGCCACGAAATCTGCGCATGGAGCTTCACAAAGTGCTGCGCCTGCCACGAAATCTGCACGTCAAGAAACAAGTGAAAACTCTAATCGCAATGGAGGAACGGACCGGCGACCACCGCAGACAACCGCCGACAAGCGCCGACAACGCAACAGCCAGAGCCTCTAACGGAGCGTGGAGGTTCACACAGTGCTGTACCTGCCACGAATTCTGCGCATGGAGGTTCGCAAAGTGCTGCGCCTGCCAGGAAATCTACACATGGAGGTTCACAAAGCGCTGCGCCTGCCACGAAATCTGCACATGATCTCTGTGTGTGTTGTCTCGGTGTGTGTGATCTCTGTGTGTGTGATCTCTGTGTGTGTTGTCTCGGTGTGTGTGATCTCTGTGTGTGTGTAACCCTTGGAGTCATAGGGATGCTTTTGCATTCATTTATTTATTTGTTTTATCGCAGGGGATGAGGTAGCAGGTAGCAAACGGCAGTGAATCTCATTCCACTGCCCAACGAAGACGGTGGTTTGAGATTGTGAAGCGAGAAGGGACGCCTTCTTGTGTACCTGCAATTTTCCATTTTGAATGGCGAGAGGCTAAGCCAAGAACCTCATTGAACTTGGCTTTTCTGCACGTACGTCGTCACCTTGTCGTCCGCTCGATCGATGCTTTTCTTTTGGAGTTGCTGGCCACCTGAAACCTTTGAGACCTCCGCTGGATGGACCTCCACTTCCTTTTAGGTTTCTTTACTTGTACCCTTAGGAATTGGAACCCTAGGCCGGCGTGTGGCACCGCATTCAGTTCAGTACACAATATCTCAAGTGTGTTTGGCTTCGCGCCAACCCGGGATGAGCCCGCAGAGTGCCTCCCGTGGACCCGTTGAACGGGTGTATGTCGACCGTATCCATTGCCCGGATACAGAGCAGCTCGCAGCGAGCGTAGGTGGCCTAGGCCGTACGTCCGATGATTTTGCCCCATCTTTGGAATTCCAAGTTGGCTCATTCCTTTACGTGACCGCAGCGGTCAAAGCAGCCAGCCGCTTCGGCAGGGCACAAGGTGACCACAGCGGTCAAAGTATTTTGGGTTCATTGGGGCCTGTGGAGAACTTAGCCCCCTTCTCCCCTGCCCTCCCCCTTTCTTTCCTTGCTTTCTGGGGTTTGCCTGAATGGAAGACTCAGGATCACCCCTTTCCTTCTTTGGTGTGTCCCTGGACGTTTCTTCGTAGCTGGGAACACCTGCCCTTTCCTTTTCTCTCCTCTCCCTTTCTCTCCCTCTCTCTTTCTTTCTTTCTCTTTTCCCTCTCCACCTTCCTTCCTCCTTGAGTGTCCCTGGATGCTTTTGTCATAGCTGGGAACCCTTCTCCGCTCTTCTTTTGGTGTGTCCTTGGACGCTCGCGTCGTAGCTGGAAACCTTCTCTTTCCTTTTTCTCGTCTCTCCCCACCCTTCCCTCCTGTCTGGACCTTAGCTTGGGTTGCTACTAGGGGCTCTTGGCCTTCCTACTAGGTCGCCACTTGACCCTACTAGAGGCTCCTGGCCTTGCTACTACTTTGTACCTTTTGGCGCGGAGCTTGGAATCTTGCCTCCCTTCGGGGAGGCGTGTGTGTGTAACCCTTGGAGTCATAGGGATGCTTTTGCATTCATTTATTTATTTGTTTTATCGCAGGGGATGAGGTAGCAGGTAGCAAACGGCAGTGAATCTCATTCCACTGCCCAACGAAGACGGTGGTTTGAGATTGTGAAGCGAGAAGGGACGCCTTCTTGTGTACCTGCAATTTTCCATTTTGAATGGCGAGAGGCTAAGCCAAGAACCTCATTGAACTTGGCTTTTCTGCACGTACGTCGTCACCTTGTCGTCCGCTCGATCGATGCTTTTCTTTTGGAGTTGCTGGCCACCTGAAACCTTTGAGACCTCCGCTGGATGGACCTCCACTTCCTTTTAGGTTTCTTTACTTGTACCCTTAGGAATTGGAACCCTAGGCTGGCGTGTGGCACCGCATTCAGTTCAGTACACAATATCTCAAGTGTGTGTAACCCTTGGAATCATAGGGATCCTTTCGGTTTGTTTTAGCTTCACAGTTGTTTTCCTTGTGCAGCAGGGGGCCACCGGGGCCCCAGAGGAGCGGTGGCCAACGAAGACCTCCTCTGGGGCCCGTGTAAACGTACCTGCCAAACTGGTTACCTGTTGTTCTCGCTGTGGTTTGCTTTCACGGTGGTTCATGTGGTTCTGTTACTAATCGCTACTCGCGTTTCGTGTTTTGAGTCTTGCTGGACGTACTTGCGAATTTTAATCTTTTGGTAAAGTGCTAATGCATCTGCAGATGTGAGCGTACGTCGTCAGCCTGTTCGTTCGTTGTTCGGTCCTTTCCTTGTGGGCCTCCTTTCCTTTTGAAGACCCCCAGGATTCGATGGCTTCCTACTGGTACTCTTAGGAAATGGAACCCTAGGCCGGCGTGTGGCACCGCTTTCAGTTCAGTACACCCTATCCTAAGTGTGTCTGGCCTCGTGCCAGCCCGGGATGAGCCCGCAGAGTGCCTCCCGTGGACCCGTCGAACGGGCGTACGTCCATGTTCCCCGGCTCTGGGAACGCAGATGTCCACAGCGGACAGTAGATGGCTTATGCCTCAAGAAGTGGGATGTTTGTCTCATCTTTGGAATTCCAAGTTGGCTCATGCCTTTACGTGACCGCAGCGGTCTAAGCAGCCAGCCGCTTCGGCAGGGCACAAGGTGACCACAGCGGTCAAAGTATTTTTGAGGTTCATTGGAACCTGTTGGGACCTTAGCCCTCTTCTCCCCCTTCCCTTCCCCCTTTCTTTCTTTGCTTTCTGGGGTTTTCCTGAATGCAACGCTCAGGATCACCCCTCTCTTTCTTTGGTGTGTGCCTGGACGCTTGTTCGTAGCTGGGAACATTGTGTGTGTTGTCTCTGTATGTGTTGTCTCGGTGTGGAGGGAGGAGGCGGAGGCGGCGGGAAGCGGGCGGCGGGAGGCTGCGGGAGGCGGATGAGACATAGAAAAGAAGAACCCCACACTAAGATGTGGGGAAACATTTGTTCTTTTCCTACAAATCTAGGAAACCAAATAAATAGTGCGTGAACTATCCTGCGTCCAGTTACTAAGAGCATCCAGTACCTAATACTGTATAGAGCTACTAACTAGCTTACCTCTTCTCCCCCTGGGCTTGTTCCTCGGTTTGGCTATTCTAGACTGCCATTTCATGCATACGGGTTTTCTTTTGGATCGAATCGGGAATGATGGCGTAGCCTGAGGTTCCACCAGACACTGACGTGAATGCCGGGAGCCTCAAGCCTTGCCTTTCCGGTTTATGAGGGGTTGGAGGTACCTCTTCGATGTGCATAGTGCGACAAAGACTTCCAGATTGGATTCCTGTTGTCAAGGTGTAGACTTGGACTTTTGAAAGTCGCCCTAGTAACAAGGACGCTAGTAACAAAGGGCATCTCTGCATCGCTACTAGGAGCCAGGACGCTACTAGTAGCTCCTGGCATTACTACTAGGAACAAGAAACTACTAGAAACAAGGAAAACTCTAGTTACAGTTTTGTTTTGAGACCTGTAGGGACGCGACACTCAACTCGATGCCAGGACACAAGCCACATCCTGATTCACACTGCCTCGGAGACGATTGAGCATCGCACCAGTGTGTTCTTCGAGTTCTTTGATGCGATTGCGAGTGTGACAGGTGCCTTTCTTGACTGGTTGGTGACGGATGGGCAAAACCTATCAAAACCTTTGATATCCCCAAATCCATCCAAAGTGTTATCGGTGGCCCAACCGGTATTTTCCAAGTGTCGACGGACCCTCACATCAACAACTGCCGCAAACCAAGTGGGTAAAGAAGCTCTGTGGAAAGCCACAACATAGCGAAACTGCATCCGGAGAGGCGTCAGCTTCACCGACCTTGATTTGGATGAAGATCAACTGGGTGGGACATTGTCTTGGACAAATCCAGTGGTGCCAGATCGCGTGCAGGCGCAATTGCTTTAGCAGATGAAGGTGAAGGTCACAAAGGTAGAACAACATTGCTTGTGGCTACTTTTCTCCTCAGAGATGAGCGTTCATCAAGGGTTCAACGGCAGGTGTATCAGATATTCTTCAGTGCCGCTGGGTTAGTATGCGTGGCCTTGCAATGCATTGCATTGGTTTGTATTGCGAACATTTGGGTCGCCCTAGCCAGCCAGTCACGTCTGAGGAGAGTGAGCAGGGCTCCGAGCTCTTCCAATTGGGCCCTGACCTCTCAACAGGCGTTGCTGTTGGGCTCTGTCAAGCTTTGTGTTGTGGTCAGTTGGGGATAGGGTTTGCTGCATTTCGCTTTTGTGTGCTTCCTTTGACCTCGCAAGCACTTGCAGGCATTCGGGCTGTTGCCTTGTCGAACACGGAACGGAGGTCCTGGGAGTGGTGGACATATCAAAACAGTTCTTTTTCTTCTTTCTTGGGGATAGCTAGGTATAGCTAGGTAGCTTGGTAGTGAGGCAAGTAGTAAGAAAAGCTACCAGCAGCAACGACGTAGAAGAATCAATTTCATGATCGACACGGGCAATTTGGCTTTTGGATAGTGCAGAGCTACAGCTGCGAGCATGCAGTGTGGCAGGAGTGGCTCCACACACTTTGCGATATACACCAAGTCATCCTTGCAAAGACAGACGACTCCGGCTGCTTTGCTCATCAGTGACACCGTGGCAAGCGTGACGAATGTCTCCTTCCCAGATGAGGCCAGTTTGTGAAGACCGTGTCACACCAACCCAATAGCGATGGCCTCCAACCCAATAGTGATGGCCTCCAACCTAGAAGCGATGGCCTCCAACCTACTAGGGATTGCCTCCAACCTACTAGCTCTCCAAAGTTGGTCATTCAAAGACCCAGCTTTGAACATGGCTCTGTGAGTATTTATTTGGAACATCGCTATTGCACAAGAACTGACAAAGGCCACTTCTGTTTTTGCGGAATGCAAGCTGAGTGTTCATTTCCTTTCGTTTCGCCATGGGGTCTGAGCAGGATTTGGATGCCCTAGAAATTGGTGGCTTGCTTTCTTGGACGCTGCCAGCAGAAGTGACCTATGTGACGGAGTACCGGCAACTCGTCTTACTTGTTTCCAAAAGGCAGTATTGGCATGTATTGGCCTGAATCACAATGGTGTCAATCATGCAGAAAAGCACGAGAATTTGAGTTTCTTTTGCAATCAGCTGGTGATGCCAGCAGCAATAATGATTGCATTGTGCTCCAATCCAAAGGCTTGCCACAGTCCCCAAAATTGCCAGAGTGTGGCCCTGTGCCCAGGATCTATTTGGTGTCACGAATTCCGGAGGTTGAGTTTGAGTATCGCAGAATTCCGTTCAAAACCAGATGCTCGGTCTTCACTGTAGTCAGTTAATGTATGTTGATGTCTTAAGACACACTCAGCCACAAGATATTTGAACTACTGACAATGGGCGATGGTTTAGCAGAGCTGCTTGGAAGAACTGCTGGAAGCGTCAGGACAGCTGATGAGCATAGATGAAGCTCGGGCCTTTCACAGCAACCGAAGTAACCAAATGTCAACGGTTTAGATCGGTTTAGATCTTTGGCCAGATCTCTTGGTTCACAGTTTTGCTATGTTTCTCAGGGCAGTCTAGCATGTTTGGAGATTGCCGACCATATTCATTTTCTTGCCACAAGATTGGATGTCTTCCCATTCCAGGTCAACGATACTAGCAACACGAGCTCCAATCTCACAAGCGAGGAGCATGCGTTCGTTTTTTTTTCGATTCTGTGGCTGTGTCTTCTCACATTATCTCACACTGACGGAGCAATCCTCACTGGGTTGCTCTTGCGGCCTTACTTGTACCAGGAGGGCGATTTAAGTGATTCCACGAATGTCGTCGCAGCGAATCAAAGCAACGAAACAGAAGTGGCCGAGGTTACCAGTGCTGTTGCTCGAATTGAAAAGCCTCGCACGATGTTCTGTCGTTCGTCTCGGATTATGTACTTGGATGTCATTCCTCCTCATCTCGTGGGCCTTTCCTTCAGTGGGTTGAGCCTTTCTGGCTTTTTAGAATAGGATAGAATAATTTGAGAGACTTGTGCGGCGTTGTGCGGAATTCCGTAGTTGAGGTTGTCTCCACTTCCTTGATGTTCTACCTGAGCAATGCCACAGCACAGCAGATCCAAGTGGCCTTAGAGGTGTGGGAGAACTCACTTTTCACGCCTTGAATTTCTGAATGGACATATTGTTGATGGCCTGATATGGCCTGATATGGCCTGATGGCCTTGTTCACCTTGCTTGTTTTGGCATCTTTTTTGCAGGCAACTATTCAACGAGTCCTGCTAGTGCCTACCAGCGCAATCCTGGTGCAGGTTTCGCAGGCACTGTCAAACACGTTGCACACCACGTCCTTGTTTCAACCACGTCCTTGTTTGGACGCAGAATTCGAACCTTTTATTTTTTTCTAATCTATTTATTGTTTCTAATAGCTTCTTGCTCCTAGAAGCGATGCCAGGACCTAGTAGTAAGGCCAGGAGCCCCTAGTGGCGTCCTTGCTCCTAGTAGTAAGGCCAGTACCTAGTAGCGTCCTTGCTCCTAGTAGTAACACCAGGAGCCCCTAGTAGCGTCTTTGCTGGTAGTAGTAAGGCCAGGAGCCCCTAGTAGCGTTCTTGCCAGGAGCCCCTAGTAGCGTCTTTGCTCCTTGTAGTAAGGCCAGGAGTCTAGTAGCGTCCTTGCTCCTAGCAGTAAGGCCAGGAGCCCCTAGTAGCGTCTTTGCTCCTAGTAGTAAGGCCAGGAGCCCCTAGTAGCATCTTTGCTCCTAGTAGTAAGGCCAGGAGCCCCTGGTAGCGTCTTTGC